TTCTCAACCTATATCCTCATAGAGGGTGAATTCAATCCTCACAAATTTGTGCTTTCAATGCCTCACAGCCTTTTTCAGTCATGCATTGGGAATATCTCCGTATTTACATCTTTTTATTCATGGGGAGATGTTCTCAATGCATGACCAAAAAGGGCTGCAAGAATAGTGTGAGCACAATCTTGTGAGCACTAAATCCGATTTCATCCTCCTATCATATCCCATTCTTTCCCATCCAACCCAAATCACTGAGCTAAGGATGTAAGTTTTCTCATTCCGCCAAACATTACAATGTGTTACTTTGGTAGGGCTATCTTTTATACACACACTTAATATAGAATGGTGCAAAAAAAAGGAGATGTGGTCACATGAGGAATCAAGAAAAGATATTTACTCGTGTGAAGTTGAAGCCATGGAATCTTACGTCTCCTTTACTAAACATTTAATTATTTATAATATTGTCATTGAGTGAAATAAAAAGTAATGATATCTTGTTATTTGTCATCCCCCTCTTTCATATTTGATGCTAAACACCTAACTATTTACAATGATGCCATTAATAAACTTCTACCTCTTTCATATTTGTTAAAAATCATCTTTCTCTCTCATTTTATTTATTTAACTCTCTCTCTCCCTAAGCCCAATCTTTAGGATTGTCAGTGGGTTGGTTTGGTTCTAAATAGCTTGGACCAGTTTTGTCCCAATAACAAATGAATGTTATTTACTCATTATTCATTTATTTAAGTAAGTTATTGTCCATAGATTTTATTTCTTTTGTTTACTAAATTATTTAATTAATTAATAATTTATTTTATTAACAAATTATTATTTTTCTCTCTCTCTCTACTTGAGCCTAATATTTAAGGCTATCAACGAGTTAAGTTTGGTTTAGGATAGCCTCTACTTGTCCCATCCCAACAATAAATGCAATTTTATTTATTTATTTTACCAAATTAAAATTTACTTATTATTCATTTATTTAATTAAATTATTATCCATAAATTATATTTATTTAGTTTACTAAATTATTTAATTAATTAATCATTTATTTTACTAATGAATTATTTTTTCTCTCTCTCCCTCCTCGAGCCTAATATTTAGATCTATCAATGGGTTAAGTTTGGTTTGGGATAGCCTCTACTTGTCTCGTCCCAATATATAAATGAAATTTTATTTCTTTATTTTACCAAATAAGTTATTTTTTTATTTTAATAAATTAAATAAGTTATTATCTATAATTTTTTATTCAATTCAACCCGAGCACAATAATTAGGGTTGTCAATGGGTCGAGTTGGTTTTGGGTAGCTTGGACCAATCCTATCCCAATTATTTATTTATTTTACTATATTATTCATAGATTTTATTTATTTAGTTTACTAAATTATTCAATTAATTAATAATTTGTTTTACTAACAAAATTTAGGGTTGTCAATGGGTCGGGTTTAGTTCTTGATAGCTTGGACAATCCTGTCTCAATTATTTATTTATTTTACTATATTATCCATAGATTTTACTTATTTAACTTACTAAATTATTCAATTAATTGATAATTTATTTTACTAACAAATTTTCTCTCTCTCCCCCTCCCCAAGCCTAATTTTTAGGGCTATTAATAGGTTAAACCTATTCACTAACTAGGTTCAGGTTGGGCTTTGCCTTGCTATCAATAGAACATATTTAGGCCCAAGCCCAAGCCTAGACCGACCAACCATCAGGCCTAGATCTTGAGTCCGAGCCTATCCCTCATGTAAAGCTCAAATCCCGGGCCTGAGCTTGAAGCCAGGCCAAGAAATTGAGAAAACAATTTTTTTATTCTTTATTTAATAACAAAATTATTTATTGATTTATATTATTTCATTACATAAAAATATAGTTTTGTTATATAAAATATAATTTTTGGTCTCGCTCGGGCTTGAGCCAAGTCTTTTGAGAAAGCTCGATCTTGGCTCAAAAAAAGTCGGGCTTGGTGTTTTGGTCTCGAGCCTGAGCCCATACACCCAAATTCCTACCCAAGCCTAACCAACTAGGTAGCCTGATGGCCCGTTGACAACTCAAGGTCGAAAAAAGTTGGGCTTGGTGTTTTGGGCTCGAGCCCTCAGACCTAAATTCTTGTCAAAGACCGACCAAGAGCGGGTTGGGTAACTCGACGACTCGACCTGGCCCGTTGACAACCTTAAATTAATTAATTAAGTAAAATAAGTATATAAATAAATAAAAATTTGTTTATTAATGGGACGGGATTGGTACATACAATCTCGAAACAAACCTAACTCCTTGATAACCCTAAATACTGAGCTTAGGGGGAGAGAGAGAGAGAGAGAGAGAGAGAGAGAGAGTTTGTTAGTAAAATAAAATATTGATTAATTTAATATTGTAGTAGATTAAATAAATAAAAATTGATGGATAATAATTTACTTATTAAAAAAAATAAATGAATAATTTAATTTAGTAAAATAAATAAATAAAAACTCATTTATTATTGGGATGAGATAGGTACAAGTTATCCCAACTCTACCTATTCATGGGTCGGGTAACCCGATTGCTTGTCTCGGCCCATTGGCAGCCCTAAATTAATTAATTAATTGAGATAAATTGTACCAATCCTATCGCAATAATCCATAAAATATTATTTATTTATTTACTTATTTTATTAAATTAATGATTTAATAATCTAACAAATTATTATTGCTATCAAAGAAAGACAGAACTGTGTCATTTATTTTACTAAATTTATTTTTTATTAAATTAAATTAATTATCATTTAACTATTTATGGTAATGCCACTATATAGAACAGGAATACGATGACAAAAGTCATATCTCCCGCATTCACTCTCTCGCTGATTATTTATTTATTTATTGTTTTATTTTATTAAATTAATATATTGTCCATAATTTTTTATTAAATATTTTTTTCCAATAAACTTTTAACAATAAAATTACCTTTCACAATATTTTTTCATATACTAATTTACCTTTGGCAAGCCCCTGCAACTAGGGGTGATCATTTCAGCCCGGCTCCGCCTGGCTCGCACAAGCCCGACCCAGAAATTCTAGGCTTGGGCCCTGGTTTTGTGTTCAGGCCCAGCCTGGGCCCGAGCCCACATCAAGTCCACAAATTTTAGGGCCGGGCTTGGGCTTAATACTTCAAGCTTGGCCCGGGCCTAGCCTGGTCCACATATATTTAAATTTACACATTTTGTATATAATGCATACATATGTATACATGTTATTTTACATTATATTATATATTTTATATTGTATAATGTATAAAATAAGTTTATATGCATGTTTTTCCATTTAATATATAGATATATAATGTTTTATATATAGTGACATTGACGAGGAACCTGGCCCAACCCGGCCCGGGCCTTTATAAACTTGGGCTAAGGCTTATATTTCAGGCCGGGCCAGGCCTGAGCCTAAGCTATAACCCTTATGATAAGTGAAAAGCCTGGCCCAGCCCGACCCATGATCACCCCTACCTGCAACACAGGGCCCCTCTAGAGTTCACAACTTCACATCGTCTGCATCCCGGTTGTAGAAAAAATTCTGCAACCAGAATAAAAAAAGGCCACGTCACTCCACCTTATTAATAATAATTTAACGGGGTCCAAACGGTTAACCGGAATCTGGACTAAAAAAAAAAAAAAAAAAATTGAAGTCTATTAATCCCGCCTTCATTCTCCCCTCAATCGTTTTATCTTCATAGTTCCCACCTTTCTCTCTCCATTCTCCTTCAACCCAACACTGTCGTCCGACCCATCGCAACCACCAGCAGCTGACGACGAGCAATGTTTCTCTCTCTTCCCTGTTATTTCTCTCCCGCCACTCTCACCACCCGAACCAGTACAACAAAGATCGCTTTAGATAACGCTTTTGTTTAATTCGATTACAGAATTGCTAGAAAGTTGATCATGTATTGGATTCAGATATGAGAGAAATTTCTTAGTGGTACAATCCTTTTGGCCCCATCCTTGCCTAGGTAGAAATTCAAGTTGAAAACCTCGAGCAGAGCAACCTATATAACAAACAGTTGATGTGATCTCTTCTACGATCCATCAAAAGCTTATTTGGCAAGCAAAAACTCCTTGGCAGGAATTTTATTAGGTAGCATACAACTGAGATAGTAAGATTGCAACAAGATGGATTTTAGCAAAAACAAGTTCTCAACCCCAATCACCTTAGAGATCAACCAATGCAAGCTGCTAACATTCATTGATCAGAATAGGAGTGAGTTACCTGGTGAGATTCTACCTAAGATTAGAGGTATACGAATCTTGGATCAATTGAATCTATTGAAGAATATGAAAAATCATTTTGTAGGGAGCATTCCTGTGTCTATCTTTGCAGTGACGGTGGAGGGTTGGGTTGCTGATTCCAAGGAAGAGAGAAGAAACAGGAGAGAGAGAGTGTGTTTCGACGGCACACCAGTAACGGTGGACGCTGGACGGTGATAGGTTATGAGAGCCTGAGAGGAGAGAGAAGGCAGGGAGAGAGCGAAGGAAAGTGAGGGGAACAGGACTTTCGAGTCCAGACAAGAAAAGGGATTGGGATTTGGGCGGGTTTTATCACGTCCGTTGAACCTGGACTCCGTTACTCTTGAAACCTATAAGTGACGTGGGATGTAGAAAATTTTCTGCAACCCGGATCCGGATGCAGACAATGTAAACTCTAGTTCATACTTCATTCTAGAAAATGAAGCGGAAAATTATTTTTCGAAAAAAAGAAACTAAGAAAGGTCCGATACGAAGCAACCCACACGTGTGAAATAGAGTAAATGTCTATTCTATTCTAAATTTCTGGTTCTTTCGAGGAGCATAAATGAGATCAGATTGACGTCGAGCTGATGGCGTCCCACGTACGCCCCACATGCACATCACTGCGTGCATTTGGAACATCTCCTTAGATGTTCTCAATACACGGGTGGGCGGTGCTGTGGGGCGCCAATCTGATCTCAGCATAAATGGCTTATATACAACGTTACGTTTCCGTGAATCTGGCTATTTCGTGAACCCTGGCTATAAATAAATAGATGGCTTCTCCCTCGTACGTCCTCTTCAAAATCATTTCATCGTCTCGACATCTTCTCTGCATCAGTTAACCATCTAGGGTTTTCTAGTCCAGAACTTTTTAAATCTGGGTCCGTAATTCTGCATTCTACACTTGCTATTCTCTAGGGTTTTCTAGTCTAGAATTTTTAAATCTGGGTGCGTAACTCTGCATTCTAGACTTTTCGTTCTCTGCATATTTTCTGGTTCTCAATCCATTACCTTACAGCTTGGCTGTTTATTTTCTTCTATTAGATATCCTAATTTCGTCCCTACTCTCGGATCTCGAAATCATTGTTACTTCTCTGCCTATTTTCCAGACTTGTTCTTGGAGATTATCTAGGTATTGGTATGTGGGATGCCGCCTCCAAGCAAGCCGAATGCGGTTGCAGACCAGAACGCCAGGTCGAACCATGGGGGAAAAGATACAGAAGAAGAGGAGACACCTTCACATAATCTGTGGGTGGGCAATTTGTCGAACGATACCACCGATACTGAATTAATGGATGTTTTCACCAAGTATGGCGCTCTCGATAGTGTCACGACGTATGCTTCCAGGAACTATGCATTTGTCTACTTCAAGCGCCTTGAAGATGCGAAGTCCGCGAAGGACGCTCTCCAAGGTTTCATTGTTCGTGGTAACCCTATCAAGATCGAGTTCGCTCGACCGGTTCGTTCTTCCCTTTTGTGTATTTTTTCTGATTGTAATGTGAAATGGATAATTTGTTTTCAGTTCATGGATCAGATTTTTTGTAATTTTATTGCCACAATCACAGTATTATTATTTAAACTTCTATTCCAGTTTCGGCACCAAAAAAACTTGAAAAAAGATCCGTTTTTTTATTAGTAAAAAATTGAACATTTGCTTAATACGAATGGCGTTTTGCATGCCACCGTATCCCGTCGGTGGCTCAAGTATGATGTAATTATCCATTAATTCGCATGCGGCTTTGTAGGCAAAAAGCAGGATGAACATGACTGGAAAAAACTTGGGAAAAAATTGGTAAAAAGGCCACTGCCAACACAGATGTAGTTCAAAGAAGTCAAATATTGATATGATTCAATAAAACACTAACTGGATTAACTTACAAGAGAGAGGCTCATGATTGATGAAAAAAAAAAAGAGAGAGGCTCATTGGATCTTTTTCTTATATTTTATGTGAGAATTGTGAAGAATGTGGCAAATAATATATAGGTGTTTTGGTTGTCTTATTATTCTTTCTAGAGGAAGGGGCCTTGGAAGGTAAATATAACAGTTCAGCGAAGAAGATTAAAATGTTAAAACATGAAGAAACACAATTAAGCATTGTTTAAGGTGTTCCTTTGGTGAATTAACCGAATTCTTCAAAGACTTGCACAATTTACAATCAGATTTTGATTTTCATTCTGATATTTTTAAGCATTGGGATTTTCTGAAGTATTTCTGATGGTTTAAACATTTAATCATTTAGTAGGGTTTGTTATGAAGTTATCTTGTCAAATTTGTAGCTGAAAAAGAAGGCCAACTAAACTGCAAAGAGAATGGTTTGATTTCCCTTACTGCTGTATGCAATAAGTGTGTCTTCTGTGCTGTACAGAAGAAAGGACATATAAGAAATCTGTTGAGAACTGAGTGGAGGACATTTAATGATGCTTACTTCCTTGCAAAATGCAAAAATTTTAAAATTTAAATCCATTTCATGAGGTGGATGACATGTAATCTTTGTTACCTTCTCAACCTGTTATAGATGACTGAGAGGTAGGTCAATTGTTTCCTATTCTTTGGACGAAGCTGAGCAAATTGAGTGCATGATAATTTCAACTGCGCAGTCTGGTTATTATTATTTTTTCGATCAGCAACTCAAAGAATTTTATTATAACTTAAAATGAGAGATCAATAAGAAGTTAGAAATAACACCCATTACAACAAAGAATCCCACAATGCAACTAACATTGAGCCCAAAACAAATGTTGTCTATTCACTCCTTGGTTAGATGATCCATCTGCCAAACCATTACCAGAACTCCTAACCCATCTTAACTGAATTTGCATATGTCTTGACAGCATCTCAAATTGCTTGAATTCATTTCTTAAGTGCCATAATACCCCTTATTTTTTTTTTTCAGCCAACCATTGACTACTTTTGAGTCACCTTCTACTATCAATCTTGTAATTCCCATTTCCTTGGCTTTCTGCACCCTAACAATAGCCACCATTAATTTAGCTTTCACCTTGAAAACAAGTCACAAATGTTCTCATGCCCATCCCTAATCACTCCTCCAATTTGAGGGGGACCCTGATTACTGAAACTACTTCCATCAAAGTTAGGTTTCATCCAAACTTCACTTGGGGGAGATCAAACCTCCAAGACCTTTCGACTCCTAGAAGAAGAAAGGGCAATTGACCCCTAATTTCGATAAAAAGTCTTCCACTAAGAAATCAGAGAATAGTTTCAAAGTTTTCACCCAATGAGCTACTCTACGTGTAACGGTCTCCAAGATTACTTTCTTGTTTCTTTCTTTATCCTCAAAGATTCTTAAATTCCTTTCTTTCCTAATAGTCCACAGGCTCCACACAATTGCTGCTCTAGCATACTTCCACAAAAATCTGCCTCTTCTTTTTGTGCTTCTCAGAAAGGATGGACTAAAGAGACTTTCAAACCAACAGGAGGGACCCACCTGCAAGGCTGTAAGCTTGTAACCAAAGAGAGAGCAAAACCATTCCCAAATACAACAAGCAAAAGGACAAGAGATTAAGAGATGAAAAGCACTCACCATTCAACTTACATAAAATGCACCAATTGGGGACAAACACCAATTTGGTCTTTTCTTTTGCAACATGTCGCCCATGTTGATGCTCTCATGATAAACTTCCCAATAGAAAGCATAGACTTTTGGGGGGGATAGGGGCACGCCAGACTTCTTTAACAGGGAAGGAATGGAATGGGGTAGAGGCCACTTGTGAAGAGAAAAAAGGATTTACAAGTAAACGACCTAGAGGGATTGAGATCCCACACCTATCTATCTTCCATAGACTTGTAAAAAACCAGGTTATCCAAGATAATCAAAAGGTTAGACACTGATGGGATTTCTGATTCTCTTAGGTTTCTCACAAACTCCAAGTTCCAACCCCCTCCCCAAAGGAAGAAGAAGACCCAAAGAAATCAGACACAGGATTTTCTTTAAGGCTTGATAGAGCATGCAAAGAAGGGAACACAACTTTCAAAGGGAGATCCCAAGCCCACACATCTTCTCAGAATCTGATCCTATTACTAGAAGCCAAGTCATACCTGATGTGCTCAAGGAATTGAGGAAGAATACTATGCACTACTTTCCACAGTGTAGCTTGGTTGACTCTTTGTAGAATACTGGCATCCCAACCATTCCTAGAGAGCCCATGAGTACTTGAAATCACTTTACGCCACAATCTATCATTCTCCAAGGGGAAGTGCCACAGCCACTTAAAAAGAGCAAGGTTTTTCTTCCTTTTTTTCCTAGACCCAACCCACCCTTTTCTTTCCTTTTTACCACCTTCTCCCACCAAACCAAATGATCTTTTTTTTTTTCCTATCTTTTGGCTTCCACAAGAAGTTGCTCATCATTTTTTCTGTTCTCCTCACAATTGCTTGAGGCATCCCTAAAGACAGATATGAAATAGATAGGGAGGTTTTCCAAGGTTGATTTGATCAATGTCCCCCACCCCCACCCCCCCAAAGAAATGTAGTTCCTTTTCCAGTCTAGTTAGCCTTTTCCCAATTCTCTCCACCAAAAGCTGACAGATCTTGGATTGCCACCAAGAGGTAAACCTAAATATTTTAAAGGCCACACAAGCTGAAGGTGCAAGATGAAGCATGTTCCTGAACAAACTGAGGTACTCTGCAGAAAAATCAAGATAAGAACTTAATATACTAAGTGAAGGATGCATCTGATCAAAGTTAGGTGACACTGTTGAAGAAAATTCAAGAGAAATACTTGATATTACAAAGTCAAGCATGCACCTAAACAAAGTGATGTCAGCTACTTTAGAAAACAAACCAAGGGATAATGTTTATACTAAAAATATGCAAGTCTAAACATAGTCTTCAAGGCGCCAAGGCGAGGCTAGGTGACCATGGGGTGCCCAAGCAGGTGCCTAGCCCTTGCTTAGGCGATGGAATTTAAAAATAAGAAGCTGATGGATTTCTACCCCTTCTGAACTCGTTTTTTTTTGGTTTTATGTATTCTGCACTTTTGTGCTTGTGTTTCTTGCAGTGTTTCTTGATGAGAACAATTACTAAAATAAAAGAAGAAAATGAAGAAGAAACATAAGGGGCAGAGACCCTGTTCTAGACCCAGAAAAGCTGGTGAAAAAATATTAAAATAAAAGAAAAAATATGAAGAAGAAAAGAAGGGGCTCCGCTCCTGTTTCAGACACCAACGATGAGAACAAAAAAAAGCTGAAAAATGCAAGAAGTTAAGAACAAAAGAAGCCCTGTTCTAGATCCAGAAAAGCTGGTGAAAAAAATACTAAAATAAAAGAAGAATAAAAGAAGGGGCGGAGCTCCTGTTTCAGACACCAATAATGAGGGAAAAAAAGCTGAAAAAATGCAAGAAATTTAAGAACAAAAGAAGGGGGCAGAGCCCCTGTTTTAGTCCAATAATATGATTCAAACCAGGAAATAAGAATGGTTTTAGTCCAACAAAAAGGAAGAGGAGAAAAATGAGGCCTAACCACTGTTTTAAACCAGTGGAAAAAGAGAACAAAACGAATGAGGAAACTGATTAACTCACCTTGACTTAGAGGACTGTGTCGGAATGATGGAGGGCTGTTGTTCTCTTCTCTTCCTCAGTTTGATTCTTTTGTCATAGTGAAACTCTTGAGATTATTTTGTTTTTACTTTCCTCACAACAAAAACATAATAACATGCAATATGTCCTATTATAAAAGCTAAAACCAACCAATAAAATATTATATTATACTATTTTTATTTTTTATTTAATAAATATTGTATATTATATATGTGTTTCAGTCCCCTAAGCATGCACCTAATACATTTTTTCTTGGTGTTTGGGCGAGGCATTCTTTAAAAAGCGCCTAGTCGCCTAGGCGCCTACCTAGGTGTCGCCTTGACAACTATAAGTCTAAATTGTGAAAGAAATAAAATGTTTCAAAAAATTATTAGCTGAAATGGTTATGCTATCATTTTATTGACATGAAGCTTATAGTTTTGTATGATTAAGTCCTATGTAGGCTAAACTGTTTCTCCCTCGAATAAGTGGCATCTTATTTTCTCAAAAAAGCACATCTCAAAAGTGGTTATTTTCACTTCAAACAAATGCTTTCCTTCTTCAAACATGTGTCTACCCACTCAAATGTAGTTACTTCCACTCTCAAAAAAGTTAGTGGTTGTTTACTAAAAAGAAAAAAAAAATCATTTCAACTGATGTAGTGCCCATAAAGTGAGGTATTGTTTAGAAATAAAACTTGATTTAATATCTATATGTAAAAAATCAAATAAAATAATAATCTAAATAAAAAAAATATAAGAATACTTGGTCCATACCTCGTACGGGGGGTTCTTCTCTAGTAATACAGTACATTGCTCATTCAACACCAAATTCAAGGTTAATTTATTAAAACACAACAAGAAATCAGGTGATGAGCACCCAACAAAATGAGCCTTTCCTTAGCGACACCTTTTTCACTGTTTGT